CAACATCCTCCACAACTAGACTGAAGAACAAAAGGACAGCAAGTTGTCTGTTCCCCTTCCCCCAATTCCCCAATAAAAACCTTAAAAAAACAAAAACAATGAAAGATAGGACAGTGCTTATAAATGATATTTAGCTGGCATTATTTATAACAATGAAAACACTAAGTGTCCAGTCTTAAAGAATTGGTTAAATTATGTTAATATTCATCCACCAGAATTCCAGTTTGAGAATACTTAACAATATAATGCTTATACTATTGTATATCCGTAAGGTACAAAAAAAATGGCTGGAGGTAAATATGCCTAAATACTGAGTGACTGTTTATGGTAGTGGGGTTATAGATAATTTCTCTTTTTATTCTTTATTTTACAAATTTGCTATACTAAGCATATACTGTTATAACTAGAACAACAACAAAAAGTAGCACTTGTGGGGTTATTTTCTTTGATTTGTGGACAAAGACTTATCGACAAGTGCAAAAAATAAGTCGTCTTTGCAACCCAGAACTCATTGTTCAGTATGACTTTGGATCCAAATAAGGACCATGACACCTAAAGCAGATTAAAATGATGGGGGTGTTCATATTCATAGAGGCTGGTTCCAGGACTGGAGAATTGAGAACTAAAAAGCATGGGATAGAGGAGATATCTCAGCTACATTGATTTAGTATTCTAATTTTAATGTTGACATAAAATAAGGATGGCTTTTTTTGGGAGGGACCCCAAAAATGCTATTTGTAACATAGCCCTCATTTTCCATTCTGGAATACAGTGTTTGGAAATATGTTTTTATCTTGGAAGATCATTATTAACCACAGTGGTTTTTCGGTGGATATTGTCAATGACCAAGGCTTGAATTTTGTTTAAACCCACAATAACATACCACAAATTCACCATTTATGATTATGATTATTAGTCATTAAAAATGACATTTTTATGCATGTTCTTGTCTCTCAAGTTGAAGAAGTAAATGGAAGCGTATATGTTACTGAAGCCATAGATGAAATGGAGATTACTGTGTAAACTTACTGTTCTCTCTGCGCTCATGAATTTGCAGTTCCTCGGTGGGCAGTGCGCTTCCGCGAAGACGCTGCTGTGCGTATATCACCATTGGGATGATATGTGTTTTCATTGGCGTTGGATTAACTGTGAGTATTACTCCACTCACTATTGGAATTCCTTTCTTCCTCTCAGCTGTATTACAGTAAATGGGGAGGCCTGGGACAACCTTCAACTCCTGGAAGAGCTGCCTCCCTGGCAAACCAGGCCCAGAAGCGTCGGAAGGGCTGTGGGCATTTCATGTTCGGCTCATAGAGCTGTGTTTGGTGGAGCTGGCCCATCCAGGGGAGGTGGTGACTCTGGACCCCTTCGATGGTCCTTGGGGACTTCACCATCCATTTAACAAGAACCACTTGTTATTATTACCTGGTGCCAGAACCAATTTGGCCTAGCAATACTCAGGCAGCTATGGAAGCCTCAAAAACCATTGCTCTCTTTGTTCAAGCCTAGGAGAGGTTATTATCAATGTGGGGTGGCTTGTTTTAGAGGAGACTGAAGCTTAGCAGTTGGCATGGCGATGATCCCAGGAGAACAGGAAGGGGCTGATCTGCCTTGCTGCCATTTGCTCTCCGCGCACGCTCCTTCGTTTCCCCGGTCCCTTATTGTTAGCATTGTTCCTGCTGTGTCACATGACACTAAGGGGTTATGTGGATTAAGCCCCTTTCAGAGATAACGTTGTAGTGGGCTCTTCTGCTTACTTTGTAAAATCTATACTTACTATAACTAGCAACATTCTTTTATTAAATTTTACTGTCAGTGATGGTCAACAAATAGACCAACTCATATTTTACAGGGACTTTGTGGTCTCAGGGATTTATTTCATGAAAATCACGTGTAAGCCAACACAAGTACTCTGAACAGATAATTGTTTTTAAGTTTCTAACTTTTTGTTTTTTTTATTGCTTTTTATTTTAGGTTGGCACCCAAGATTTTGCAAGGCGATTTCATGCAACCTATGTTTCTTGGGCAATTGCTTATCTCTTAGGTTTGATCTGCCTTATCCGAGCTTGTTATTGGGGAGCCATACGAGTGAGTTACCCAGAACACAGTTTTGCATAAGCTTGCTTGTGATTAAGTGATGCAGGTGAGAGTATCTAGCAGTTCCTGACAAGCTACTCTGGGCATCTTTAAATCGTGTATCCTTATGGATTCCATTCTGGTTTATGTATAAATTTTCAAGACTTTGGGAGCCTTTTATGAACAAATGCTTATTGCACTACATTATATGCAAATAATAGTTTGTTTTGCTGCTAGGTTTTCAAGCTCCAAATAATAAAGTGATGTCTTCAAGTTCTTTTACATCTCTTAAAGGTATTTTTGGATTTGTCACCAAGCATTATGTCTAACATCACTTTTCATTATTTTTAAATCACTTATTCCATAACTTGCTGATCTGTGAGTATTTCCAAGAAGTGTTTATAAATGTTTCTACAATAGCTTTACATTTATACTTACATTTTAATTAAACAGTACCAAAATTGCTTGCTTTAAAATCTAAGCAATATGCATTTTGCTTGAAGTGCTTCTTGTAACTTTAACCTAAGATCATAGTGACCTTATTCAGGAAAAAAATTTGAGTGTACCTTGAAAAACTTGACATTCTTGTCAGATAAAAACTGTTTCTAGATACTGTATGCTTGTTTTTTTTGTTGTTTGTAGAGAGCTACAATATTTTGGTAGTAATTTAAAATACAAGCCTGGAAATATTTATTTGTCCACAGTTAAAAATAATGTTGGATAAATGCTTTTTTTCTCAAAGATCACAGGACTTTTGTCTTCCATTTTTGTCTGTTTTTTTATTTACCAATTATAAAAGTATTGGCCTACATTTATGAAATGTAATGTTAATTAGCTATATGTATTTCCTTATAGAGCCTTGAAGAGGTATTTTACATCACATGTTTTATAATACTTAACCATTTAAACAAAGATATATTTACATTGGGTTACCCTCCTTTTCATTAAATCATGGTCAATTTTTCTTATGGGGATAATTATGGACTACTTGTGTGAAGGGAGCCTATAACATTTTACAGTAGCTAAAATGTTGAGATTAGAGGTAGTTACTCTTACCATTCTTCTCAAATATATCGGGTCAGATAATGACCCAATTTATTCAAGAAAATAGATCAAAGACAGTAAGCAACATGGTTTTCAGAGAATTCACCAGGATTTAAGGAATCACCCCTCTCACACTTCCCATCTTTGCAGTTTTGAAACAGAAATTGCTTAGTTGAGAAATAATGTTCTAAAGCCCTTAATGTAGATTTAGAAAATGAGATGATCTGAGGAAATTAATTGGCTATTCCAGGGGTAGGAATAAGGTTTTAAAATATTTATGTTCCTGATTAGTATAAGAATGTACTCATAATAGAGTTTGAAGCAAAATACGTGCAAACTTCAAAGAGTAAAATGATAAATATCTCATTGCGGTAGCTCAGAATCATGTGTACTTTTGAAAATACACTAATAAAGATTATTGTTCAACAATTACCTTGTTCTATTCCATTTTTAAAAAATAAGATGTGATTTCCAAAATTGCCTTGAGATTTTGTTCTGAAGTAGTTTTCATGTTTGAGGACATATGTATTTCTTTATATAATGTTCATTTATTTTTCCAGTATTTTCATTTTAAAAATATAGATTTTTATATCCATTTGTAATATGCCTGATGTATTGTATGAAATAAGAGTCTAATTTATTTCTTTTCTTAACAGTTAACTAGTTGTAATCCCACATTAAGTCATAGGCTGCATGGTTATATTCCTTTGAAATACAACTCGGTGACAGCAGGAACCTTGGTGACCTTGCTCACTGCTTTGTCTCCAGCATTTAGAGCAGTGCCTAATGTGTATGTGCTCAGTGAACATCTGCTAAACGAATGAATAAATGAGTGGATGAATTGGTTTGTTAAAATTCTTTTATCCCCTTGGGTTTGGAATCTTATTTTGCTACAGAGTGTACAGGTAAATATTTATATACTTTTTTGTTAAGGAAAAACTTCCCAAATAAAACCCTAAAGCAGAAATCAAATAGGAAAGGATCGATAGATTGTATGATTAAAAGAATAAAACACTTTTGTATGAAAAAAAACTACAAGAAGAGCCAAAAGACAAACTGGTGAAGATATTTTCACCATATTAGAAAGAGTTAATCTTTTTAATATGGGAAGGGACTAATGGCTTGAAAAATCGATTCACAAAATAAATGTAAGTAATAAAAAGGAACTTTTTTTCAATTTACTAATAATCAAAGAATGTAAGTTAAAACAGATACTATTTTTTTTACCTACCATATTAACAAAGAATGCAAGTGTGATTATATCCCTGTAATGTTTAGGATATGAGGCAGTACACACACATACGTATTCTTTGACATAGTAATTCTGTCTCTAGGAATTTTTCTTAAAGGTGTTATGGATAAGAGAACAAATATGGATGGGCAGTGATGTTGATTATATATTTGTTTATAATAGGAAATAAAAACAAGAAAAAGTCCAAAAATTCAATAATATTGGATAGGTGAAATAAATAATGGTATAATCAGAGTATGAAATAATACGCAATCATTTAAAATATTGTATTTCTCACCTGTTGAATTGAAAATGGTTCACAAAATATTGTGTGGCAATCAGATTACAAATCAATTACGTGGAGTATGATCCATTTTCTGAAAATGATTTTATGTGTATGTGTTGAAAAGAAATAAGGAAAATTGAACACTACAATGTTAGGAGTGGTTATCTCTGGGTGATAAAAGACAAATGACTTTTTAAAAACTTTTATAGGCACACCTTGGACATGTTGCGGGTTTGGTTCCGGACCACTGCAATAAAGTGAATATCGCCATACAGTAAGTCACACACAGTTTTTGTTATGTTTATACTGCTGTTATAGTGTGTTAAGTACACAACAGCATCATATCTACAAAACAATGGACATACCTTAACTAAAAATTCTTCCTTTTTTAAATTAAAGTTTATTGGGGTGAAAATGGTTAGTAAAGTTACATAGGTTTCAGGTGTACAATTCTGTAATACATTATCTATATTAAAAATTCTTCATTGCTGAAAAAGGCTGACCATCATCTAAGTCTTCAGCGAGTTATAATGTTTCTGTTGCAGGGGGTGGTGGGGGGGGGAGGTTTTCTCCTTGATGTTGATGGCTGTTGACCGATCAGGGGTAACTGCTGAAGGTTGGATCACTGGCAATTTTTAAACTACAACTGAAGTTTTCTGCATTAGTTGACTTTTCTTTCATGAACGATTTCTCTGTAGCATGCGATGCTGTTTGGTAGCATTTTATCCACAGTAGAACTTCTTTCAGAATTGGTCGGTCTCACAGCCTACCGCTGCTTCATCTGCTGAGTTGATGTGATACTCTAAGTCCTTCATTGTCCCTCCAACCATCTTCACAGCTTTTCCACCAGCAGTAGATTCCATCTTAAGAAACCACTCTCTTTGCTCATCCGTAAGAAGCAACTCCTCATTCGTTAAAGATTTATGAGATTGAAGAAATTGAGTCACAACTTTAGGCTCCCCTTCTACTTCTAGTTCTGCTGTTTCTACAACACCACCTGTTACTTCCTCCACTGAGTCTTGAACCATCAGAGTCACCTGTGAGGGTGGGAATCAGCTTCTTCTAAGCCCCTGCTAATGTTATTTTGACCTCTTCACATGAGTCATGAATGTTCTTAATGGCATCTAAAATGGTGACTCCTTTCCAGAAGGTTTTAAATTTACTTTACCCTGATCCATCATAGGAATCACTATCTATATTGTTACAAAATGTGTTTCTTAAATAGTAAGACTTGAAAGTCAGAATTGCTCTATGATCAGTGGGCTGCAGATTGGGTGTTGTGTTCACAGGCATGAAAACAACATTAATCTCATTATCCATCTCCATCAGAGCTCTTGGTGATCAGGTGCATTGTCACTGAGCAGTCATATTTTGAAAGGAATCTTTTTCTGAGCAGTAGGTCTCAACAATAGTCTTAAAATATTCAGTACACCATGTAGTAAACAGATGTGCCGTCATCCAGTCTTCTTTTTGCATTTGTAGAGCATAGGCAGAGTAGTTTGAGCATAATTCTTAAGAGCCCTTGGATTTTCAGAATGGTAATTGAGCACTGGTTTCAATTTCAAGTCACCAGCTGCATGAGCCTCTAATAGGAGCCAGCCTGTCCCTTGACGCTTTGAAGCCAGTCCTAGATGGCATCTTCTTCCAATTTGTCCCTATTGTAAATCTGTGGTTTAGTGCAGCCACCTTCCTGAATTGTCTTAGCTAGATCTTCTGGATAACTTGCTGCTTAACCTTGCACTTTTATGTTACAGAGACGGTTTCTGTCCTTAAACCTCATGAAGCAACCTATGCTAGCTTTAGACTTTTCTTCTGCACCTCCTCACCTCTCAGCCTTCATAGAATTGAAGAGAGTCAGGGCCTTGCTCTGGAATAGGCTTTGGCTTAAGGGACTGTTGTGGGAAACTGAAAGTTTCCCCATCAACAATAAATTTTGCCTTCTTATCATTCGTATGTGCACTGGAGTAGCACTTTTAATTTCCTTCAAGAATTTTCCTTTTTACTCACAACTTGGCTCACTGGTGCAAGAAGCCTAGCTTTCACCTAGCTTGGCTTTTGACATGCCTTCCTCACCAAGTGTAATCATTTTTAGCTTTTGATTTAAAGTAAGACATGCAACTCTTTCTTTAATTGAACACTGAAACGCCATTGTAGTGTTATTAGTTGACCTAATTTCAATATTGTTGTGTCTCGGAATGGGGAAGCCCAAGGAGTGGGAGAGAGAAGGGGTAGAACAGTCAGAACAGATCAACATTTATCTATGTTTCCCATCCTATATGGGTATGGTCCTTGGCAACCCAAAACAATTATAATAGTAACACCGAAGATCACTGATCACAGATAATCTTAATAATATATTAATGGAAAAGATTGAAATATTGTGAGAAGTACCAAAATGTGACAAAAAGACATGAAGTGAGCAAATGCTGTTGGAAGAAATGGGACCAACAGACTTGTTCCATTGTAGGGTTGCCACAAACCTTCAGAATGTGACAAAGTGCAGAGCACAATGAAACAAGGTATGCCTGTACCGACTAACAGTAGGAGAGTTTAAGTTTTGCTCTATGTGATGATCACAATATTTGTCACGTCTTCATTTAGATTCTTGAAGAGTTTTAAAATAATTTTGTTAAAATCCAAACCAGTGAGTTTCATTGATAACATTGACTGTTGTTTCATTTCTATATGCCTTTGGAAATGTCCTTCCAACTTGCAAGGAATATCCCAGTCTGTTGGTGAACTTTTTATTCTTGAAAATTTTGCTCAGGCATAACCTCTCCTGTGAACCCTTCCATGATCCCTTCTCCCCTTCATCCCTTCCCCTCCGCCCCCCCAGCCAGAATTATTTCTGTCATTGTACTTCTTTTCCATGTAAATACTTTTAACTACTACTATTACTACACTCTATTTAACTTATTAGTTCATAGGTACACTTAGACTGCTGTTCTCTTGTTTGTGATTGTGCTTCAGTCATACGAGTCTTATTTCAGTTTGTCTTCTTCAGCACATAATAGGCCTTCAAAGGGTTTTTTTTTCTGCTGACCTGAGCTGAACAGAACCAAATCTCTATTACATCTTTTAATGCATTGCTGTATTGCAATGGTTATCTCTGTATGTGTATGTATATCCTCCATAAAATGCTTTGTAAATGATGGTGGGCTAAGTGAATGAGAGCCAGACTGCTGGCAGGAGGGTGGTAAGATCATTTGGTAAACACTACATAATGCTACCTCTTCAGGTTTTCACAACTCCACAGACTTCCAGTAGTACCACCCAAGTGTCTGCATGCTTACTAGGCACTACATACCATGAGAGCAGGTAAACCAGTGTGTCTGTGTTACCTGTGCTCATGTAGGGTTTTATTAACCGAATGGGAGGTACTATGAAGGTAAAGTTAAATATGAAAATAAAATTGTAAATCAAACCTCTACTTACACGTAATAAGAAACAATTAGAATTATTATCCTTCTAACTGGGTTTTCCTCAATCCATTCTCCAAAACTTTTTTTAAATCAAAGTAAATATTTGCTTAGAATGAGAAAAACAATGCAATGACAACAAATTACAAATTTAAAAAACTGACAAATACCACAAACATCAAAAACCTATAAAAATATTTTTAATTGCCTGAACCACCCCTGAATTTTTCTTTATTTCCTCATCATTTGACAATTGTGTAATGTATTTTATTTGTGAGAATAGATATTTTCTCAACATAGTTAATAAAAATTTATTTTTATTATTGAAAGTTTAGAAAAGTTTATTTCAGTCACAACTTGTTTGGTAATAACATGTCAATTTTTAGTTTGTTAAATTTGATGAAAACCTGTCATGAGTTACTGATATGTTATGAATTCAAGGCATTTCAAGTTTTCTTTGGAAGTGTGATTAATTTTAAATACTCTAAAAATTGTTCATTAACTTGTTGTCAAGCTCTTGCTGTGGAGAGGTATCATAAATTCTAGGTTATTCTTACAGATGCCAATATTTCTTGCCAAATCAACAAGTAATATTTAAAAGTTTCCGTGTGTTTATATGCTTCATTCTTCTTCGCAGATTACCAAAAAATGTAGGAGACTATTTGTTACTACTTAAATTTTATCTCAATAGATTACTGATTTTCATTTCATCTGGAAAGAAATTATTTTCCAACTAAGTTTTTTGTCATAAGTTCTATTGATTTCATTTAGTAAAATGTAAAAAATAATTTACTTGTATGCTGTACATGATTGTGTAGATTGTTAAATATGTTCCTGAAGAAAACTTCTATTTTTTAGACTAGATTGATGAGAAATGAGTCCTACGCTTACAATTTTCTACATCTGGGTGTTGGGGAGGATATATTGATTCCATTGTCCACAGACTTCTGGTGTTTCATGTACAGGACATATTCTTTTTTTTTTTTT